GACGTGAGCAGGACCAGAATATAGTGTACCTAAATGAAGCCGTCCAAGATTGTCTAACGTAAGACAGTCAGAATCTGGCTTCAAGGGAATGCTTGAAAACTTTTCATGAGATTCCTTGTTAAAAACTGGTAATGCAAAGGTTGTCGAAGTACCTTCTTTGATCATACAGATGAAAATCGGAGCTTCATCTTTAGGGCAAGAGGTTTCGACATTAACGAATATATTTTCCGTAATGTTAAGGAGCACTATACCAGTTTTCAGAATGGATGAGATCGCCGATAAAATATCCTTCAAGTTTTCATACGATGGGTTTTCAAGTTCTCCAGTATCAAAAGATTTTTCTTTTTTTAGAGAATCCATAATTTCTTCCTTGGATATTTTAACATTCAACTGGGTACTGGCTTGGTGAACGATAATGTTGTACAAATCATTGATGGACTCATCATAGAATATATCAAATTTATTACAAATAGTGTCGACTGGGCTTGTTACGTCTGTGTGTCCCTCATAATCGTATGTAGAAGCATTAATTAGATCTGATTCAGGCGTTTCACTTGCAACTATGCCAAGAGGAGTGGCCTGCAACAACATATATCCCGACACTGACAACAGATAATTAGGCACCGGAAAGTCATGGTCGCTGTTGTTTGGTGTGTCATTCGTTGGGAAAAGACGTTTAATCTGATGATACCGGGAAACAGCAGGTGGGCCAACTTTGATTTTTGCCATGTCATCTGTGCTGATAATTGTTACCGAGTCTCTGAAAAGCTAAGCAAATTCTCTTCGTTGTTTGTTTTTCGAAAACAGATAATGAGCATCAGGGTGGTGCTGGTAAGAATTACATTTTGTTCCGACTCTTGCATCAACATAGCCCTTGTATCTTGCGCTCGCTAGGTTACCGTAGTTAGGTGCGTTAAATAATCGTCAAACTGTTGACAAAGAAATTCCAAATTCTTTCAAGCTATCGATTTCATTTAACAGATGGTCTCTGATTTGCGCTATTGTAACACCACATGAGTAACCAGTCTCGGTTCGCCTACGATGGTGAGCAGCAAATCTGTGTTGCTTCATGAATTCTGCAGCTTTGTCGATTATCTCAGGAAATTTGGAAACTAAGGAAGGTTGACCTGTATAATTTCGTTTGAGATCGTTCTTTGATTCATCGCTTTCTTCACCCTTATTGCGGCTTTGCTCCTCGTCCTCATCTACAGTTTTGCTATCAGAGCATAAAAAGGCTTCAAATAACCCGGGTGTGAAAACGAATTCATGAAGATTAATGAACAAATCATCTTTCTCGTTCGCAACCATCATAACGGGCATTCTTTGCAATATTTCGCGTTTTTCTGCTTCGCTGTCAACAGAAAGCTCCGAAGATGTTAGTATGATGTTGGTTGAGATTAGCGTTGCGACAGAGTAAAGTTTTTCTTCCTTGTCTAATTGCGTTGAGCCACAGGAATTTTCTTTCTCAACAAAAGTTGAAAAGACGTCATCCCAAGAAAGCGTTGTGGTGTTGAAACAGAAGCACGAAATTAGCTCATGTTTGAAGCGAGTGGTGAGATACGGAAGTGAGCTCTTGTTTTGTTCTTGTTGTTTAACTCTCCTCCTCAATGACTGCACAAGATCCTTGTTGCAAATTAACATTTTCAGTTCTGATCCAGCTAGAATGACATTTTTTAATGCATCTGCGCATTTTAAATAGGCTTGACTAAGAAGACTAGAGCATAATCCAGGACCACACTTCATAGACACAACGTTTTCGATTGCTTTCTTTAAACTGGCTTCAGCGTTTTTAATGGCGTCAAGCTTCAATTTCAAGTTAGATTTTCTGTTGTATACTTCTTGAGTCTTATAGTTTTGGTGGATATCATGAAACTCACTCCAAGAATACATCAATGAAGTCAAGAACTTCATGAAAACCGCATCAGCTAAAACATCCTGCTAAAGAAATTGCTCTGGATCAATACCAATTGTTTCCAGAAACTTAGTGATTTGAACAAGTTTGTGTGATTTTAGGTATTGTTCTCTGTTCTGCGTTTTGTCTCCAGGATTATTTGTGTTGCCAGAACTGGATGGTTTCTGTTTTGCATCTGGACTTGTTGCCACTTGAGAAGTTTCATTGTTTCCCTGAGATAGCCTTTGAAAAAACTGTTTATTTTGTTTTGGAGTATCCTTTTCTTTTTCAGCTAGATATTCTCGAGCATTTTCGGGATTGTCTTTCACCTTTTCCCATTCTCTTAAAACATACGAAAGGAAATCCTGCTTCTTACCGAAACGATCATGTTCCGTACTTCATTTTTTGTTCACAAACTTCTCATAGAGAGTAGAATCCTTTTTGAAATAAGGTTTTGGTTTGAATGAAATTCCAGTCAATGTCAACTGTTTAGACATTATCGACAATGAAAGACAAAATTCTAAAACAAATGATGTATTAGACTATTTACCGCTGTCTACCGTAGTCTTCGTTGTAATGACCAACCTCGTTTCCAACTTTTTTTATGAAACTCTGAAGCTTGAATAGTTTCACTATGTGCAAACCACAATAAATAATTTATCACATTTTTGAGAGGATTCGTTGATTGTGTTAAATGCGTCTTGAAGTAAATTTAAAATTATTTGCCGCAATGCAAAAATTAGACAGTAGTGCAAAGCAAAATTGCCCAAATAGCCGGCAATTGTTATCATGTGACTATTCTGGCAGGCGCTTTCTTCCTTCTAAAAAGTACTTATACTTAAAAATACTTTATACTTAAAAAATTGATTTTAATATATATATAATATATTATATATAATATATATATATATTATATATTATATATATATATATATATATATATTATATATACACCCATTTGCAAAAACGTTGGCCGCAGATAGATAGATAGATAGATACTCGAAGTCTAATTAGAATTGCATATGAGTACATTTGCATGGGATTTTAATCATATTATTACACAACATATGCAATTCTAATTAGATTTCGGGTATCTATCTATATATCTATCTGCGGCCAACGTTTTTGCAAACGGGTGTATATATATATATATTTTTTTATTTAGAACTTCCCTTCGAAAGTACTAAAAGCTTGAATTCCACATTTAAGGACGAAATCTTTTTTAAAAAGATAATAAATATTCAAGTTTGAAAAGTACGAATGCAAAATATTAAACTGTGCAAATATTAGGAAAAAAACACACTTTTAAATATATTTCTAATACTAGGAAAAATATTAAATATATACAATCAAGGTAAAAAGGTAGAAAATATTTTTGCATATTTTACTTACCTAAAATAGCCTAAAATACATCCGGCGCCATTTTCCAGGATATATGCGATATTAAATGTTCATGATAACATGAAGTCTCCAACAAAATTGTGGCGACCGCTGGAATAAATCTTGCGGACACCGTGAAGGAGATTATTTATTTATTTGACATATTTCTATGCATATTTCGGATACATTTTATGAATAAACATGAAAATCTGAAGTCAAACAGCACAAGAACGTAAAACTGCAACACACAGGTATAAAACATTCAAAAGTATGCCACGCAAAACGTCAGACAGGATCAAATTTAAACACCCACCCACCCAAAACGTCAGTTTGACGTTTTCCGTGGCAATGTGAGTATGGACGTCACCCCTAAGAGATGGAATTTTAGTCAGTTCTGATATTAGATCAATGCATGGTAAATTATCAAGACTTTGATTACTCATAGTTATTAATAACACAACAAATTGCTACAAGAAAATTATTCCACGAAGAACCAAAAAAGAATACATATAGAATAGTCAACAAGTGAAAGTTATCTTTGCAATCTTTCCAAAATCTATGAATTGTCAATATAAATAACTGGGCTGTCATTATCCTTTCTTAACAGAATTCTACCATTTCAAGTCCACAAATAGCGATAATCTAGCTCCTTTTTTCTTCTTAATCTCAGTTTGACGTTTTCCGTGGCAATGTGAGTATGGACGTCGCCCCTAAGAGATGGAATTTTCGTCAGTTCTGATATTAGATCAATGCATGGTAAATTATCAAGACTTTGATTACTCATAGTTATTAATAACACAACAAATTGCTACAAGAAAATGATTCCACAAAGTACCAAATAAGAATACATATAGAATAGTCAACAAGTGAAACTTATCTTTGCAATCTTTCTGTTTCCAAATAAACTGTCGAGTAATTAGACCGAATCAAATCCCTCTAAAAGTCATCTATTTTCGCTATAAGTCTCAGGCAATAATACAGAACAAAAACAAAATACAAATATATTTAACCGCAACGTTTTTCTTGCGATTCAGACGCCCGCGATCCATGCATATCGCAGACTCAAAATATTGTCCAAACTTTAAGTAAGCTAAATCATAAGCAGTTTACTCGTTCCTTAACATTCCCCTCCCGAATGCATAGCATTCGAAAGTGACTGACTAGATAACAGTCCAAAAGTTTAACAATTATAACAAATCCTTTCAATTGTCATCCTTTCTGGTCAACGTACTCCAGCGGACTCAGGCGGTCTCCTGTATTCCTTTCCATTCGACCACGACTTTACAACTCTAACCGTTCCGTTCTCATCAGGAAAGACTTCCGTAATACGTGCTAAAGGCCACTCTCCTCGATTGTTCTGTGGTTCAGCCACTAAAACGACATCACCTACCGCGATGTTATGTCTCGGATGAAACCATTTCCGCCGGAGACTCAGCTGTGGAAGGAATTCTCTTTGCCAGCGTTTCCAGAAATGCTGAAGAAGTTGTTGAACCCTATGCCAACGTTTCACCGGATGACACGCGTCAACTTTGTCCATAGCCTCCGGAGCAAATGTACCCCCTACTTCTCCTACGAGAAAATGATTTGGCGTTAAAGGCGTCAGATCTTGAGGGTCCGAGCTTACGTAAGTGATAGGTCTAGAATTTAATAGTTTCTCAGCTCCGCAGATGGCCGTGTGCAATTCTTCGTCGTTTATCTCAGCATTTCCCAAGATGGCTTTGATTGCTTTTTAGGCACTTTTCACCATTGCCTCAAACACCCCGCCAAAGTGTGGGGCGGAAGGGGGGTTGAATTTCCACTCTATGGGATGGTACTTGCCCATCATCTCGACGATTTTATCTTGCTCCAGTTGTTGAACCAGCTCTCTGATCTCTCGTTCTGCTCCAACGAAATTGGTTCCGTTGTCGGTAATCACGTAAGAAAGCGTTCCCCTCCTTGATGTCATGCGTGGGAAGGCATTCACAAACGAGTCCGTATCCAAATGATATGCCATCTCTAAAGGGACTGCCCTCGTCGCTAGGCACGTAAACAAACAGAGATAACGTTTTGCGCGGGTCTTCCCAAGACCTTGCTTTGTCGGAAACGGGCCGGCAAAATCTATGCCAACATTGTCAAACGCTTGTAAGGACTGTAGCCTTTCGTTGGGCAAAGGTGCCATGATTTGCCCAGTAGTTTGAACTCTAAATCTCCTTCGACACTCTTTACACGATGATACAATATCTCGCACGACGCGACGTCCTTTAACAATCCAGAATCGCGCTCGCAACTCTGTCAACGTGTGTTCCACTCCAGTTCCATGTCCGAGAGTTTCGTGTGCGTTCTGCACAACCAATCTTGTTAAAGGATGTTTCTTTGGAAGGAGAAGTGGAAACTTTGCTTCATAAGAAAGACTTTCAGCTCTTGCTAAACGTCCGTTAACACGGAGGAGTCTGTTTGCATCTTTAGTTGGGGTTAACCGTGCCAAGCATGGCTCCTTCACTCCGTTTGGGAACGCTTCAGACTGGCATCGCTTGACCCAAAATTCTTCGGCTTCTTTAAGTTCAGTCGGCGACAATGTCTGAACAAAGTTCTGCTGGTCTAAGTTCTGTCTACAGTTGTGAATAAAGCGCTTTATCCAGCACGCCACTCGATACAACTGTCTCAGACTGGAATAGTCGGCAACAGAAATAAACTCAGTTTCATTCAATGTCGTTGTGAATGTTTTGACTGTAGATCTCTTCTCTAGATCCACCTTTGCAACGTCTTTTCTTGGTGATGGAGGCCAACAGGACTCGTCGCTCTTGAGAAAAAATGGACCCTCCATCAAAAAACTGCTTTGGCTCAATTCAACGGCGGTCAGGCCTCTGGTTGCAGCATCTGCCGGATTCATTTCTCCAGGCACGTGGCGCCACTGCTCCGGGTTTGAGGTGCGTTGGACTTCGGCGATACGGTTTGCCACAAAAGGTTTGAACAAACGACTTTGGTTTCGCACCCAATAGTAGACGTTCTCTGCGTAAGTCCAAAATACGATACGATCAATAGTCAAAACGTGCGAGATGCTAACGCTTAGTTGGCTGGAAAGAACGGCACCCAACAACTCGAGTCTCAGAATGGTGACGGCTTTTAGTGGGGCGACGCGGGACTTTGATGCAACAATACGTGATGTGAAAGGGAGGTCTTTGTAGCGGCCAACTAGGTAAGCTACGGAGCCATACGCATCTTGTGAAGCATCGGAGAACAAGTGCAGTTCGACAATATCTGGATCAGAGAGACGCAAGCAGCGTGGAAGGGAGACTTTCGAAAGATCTGGCAGTTCGAATGTCCAACAATTCCATTTCGCCTTCAAGGCTTCAAGCAGTACATCATCCCATTTCAATCCCTCGGTCCAGATTTCTTGCATTAAGATCTTGGCTCTTATCACGAATGGGGAGAGGAACTGCAGCGGGTCGTAAAGTGATGCAATTGCACTAAGAACAGTTCGCTTCGTTGGTGCGATGTTCGGGTCAGGTGACTTTAGTTTGAAAATGAATACGTCGCAGCTAGCTTCCCACAAAACGCCAAGGGTCTTGGTCTTTGGCGATTCGCCATCGCTGAGCTCAACAATAGGGAGACGGTCGGTTGGTGGCACATTTTCCAGGACAGCAGGTTCATCGGAAGCCCGCTTTCGCAAGTTGAATCCTGCGGCGCTCAACATATTTGACAACTGGCTTTGCAACGACTTTGCACTCTCGACCGTTTCAGCAGAGTCCAAAAGATCATCTACGTACATGGCGTTGTCCACAGAGTCTGCAGCTTCAGGAAAAGCTCCCTTGTTCTCTTGAGCATGGCTGTGAAGAACATACTGAGAGCAGAAAGGCGATGCAGTATTCCCAAACACTAGTCTTTGAAACTCGTACACGTCTGGGTCTCAAATTCTTGCCAAAGAAAGCGGTGATAGGCGCGGTCTGGTTCGTGGAACTTTGCTTGCAAAAACATCTTGGAGATATCAGCCATAAGCGCAACCGGGGCTCTACGAAATCTAGTTAGGACTTCGACTACTTCTCTCTGCATCTTCAGTCCAGCGTGAATGGCATCGTTCAAGCTTTTACCTTCGTACCTCATCGCGGCATCAAACACGACACGAACTCTCGTCGAGCTCTTTTCTGGTCCAATGACTGGGAAATGGGGTAAAAACCATTGTTTTTCGCTGTCCGACTTTTGCACTTTCTTTATGTAACCCTTTTGCTTATAGTCCATGAAAATGTTGCCATAAGACTCCATTATGTCTACACCCCGTTTCTTCAGCAACTTTTCTTGGCTTTGTAGTTGTACAAGCTCAGCTTCATAGTTAATCTTCAGTCCCGGCTCCTCTTCTTTCCACGGAACACCAACGGTGTATCGGCCATCACATAACGAAATAGTATTTGCAACCTTCTCTACGACATTCTTCTCTTCCATTGACATCTCTTGTTTCACATCCCGTATACCAATCGACTCGAGTTCCCAGAATTTGCATAATGTGTCGTCAAGTTGTGTCTGTGTCAGAGCTTGACTTGTCCGATGTGTCCGAGCAAAGTTACTTCGGGATCTGCTACGAGGATTCTTATCAGCCAATGCAGGACCAAAACACACCCAGCCAAGGTTAGTCAATCGTGCAATAGGATCCTGCAGGTCACTTCCAGATACTTCCTCTATAACAAGGTGAAGAAGAGGGTGGTCACTTCCAATCATAACATCAATACACGGCCGTTTCGACACAGTCTCAAAGGGAATCGAGCGTAAGTGTGGCCAGTTTTCTTTCAGCTGGGACCATGGGAAGGCGGGGGTATCACTAGCAATGTTGTCCAGGACGTTTGCATGTAGTTGGGAGGAAAACTTCTTATCTGGGCTAGCTACTGAAAAAGTTAAGCGCGATATCATGTTGTTCCTGTTCTTCGCTCTGGGAATATCCTGAATAACATTGTGTATAGCTTCTTGAAATATCTCTGATGCCGAGCAGATTCCGAAATTTAGCCGCTTATATCAATAGAGCCCGACATGAGTATTAAAAGTTGTGATGTATCTGGAATCCTCGTGTAACTCGACTTGATGATATCCAGCACGTAAGTCCAGCTTATTGCACATTTTAGCCCCGTTTAGATCATTAATGAGTTCATCGACAGTTGGCATTTGATGCCTTTCACATTGGATTGCTTTATTGGGCTCTCGCATATTTACACACAGTCTTATAGCTCCTGGTTCCTTTTTCGGTGGTGTGACGATAGGTGATACCCAAGGTGTGGGGGTGTCTTCAACCTTCTGGATAACATCTTCTTTCAGGAGCTTTTCAATTTCTTTTGCAACTTTGTCTCTTAGATGGAACGGTGTTCTACGCTGTTTTAGTGCTACCGGCTTAACCGTTTCATCGATGTGCAACTTTACCGTGGTGTTCTTTAACCTTCCTATTCCTTTGAAGAGATTCTTATGCTTAAGGAGGGGGTCAGTTTTTTTAGTTAAGGACAGCTATGAGGTCAAGTTCAATGGAAGTGGAATATCCTAGGAGTGATCCATGATCACCTGGGACGACATAAAATTCATGGCTTTGGATTTTCTTGTTTGTTTCCACCAGTAATTCGCACCGGCCAACCACCTTCAATGGTTGGCCACTACCATAGGGGTATAAGCATCTTGTTATCGGCTTTTTCTTTAAATTGGGTTGACCTAACCGTTTGTAAACAGTTTCATCTATAATGTTAACAGAAGCTCCTGTGTCAATTGTCACTTGGCACTTGACATTGTTCAATTTCACTGAGGTTTTAGGTGTTTTTTTTGTGCACAAATTTTAAAACGTCTTCGTCAAAACGGACGCCATAACAATATTCATCTTCACTGGATGAGTCAGACGCATCCGAATCATTTTGTGGATCTTAAAGCTGGGCAAGATCCAGTATGTGGATATGCACCCCCACAATTCTTGTGGATATGCACCCCCACAGTGTCCTGGTCTTGGGTGGTGCCTTTGTAATTTGACGGTGTGTCTCCTCGTTTTGCCTGTTGCTTTTTGCTGTATTTGACTGCTGAAATAGATTTATTCTCCATAGAGGCAGCATGTTTATCTGTTAGTTCCAATGTTCTGCCTATGTTCAAGATTTCAGTTAACAATTTATCAGGTTCTCGCAGGGCCCTTCTACGAAACCGACTGGAGCTACAATGCTGGATCACTTGGCATAAAATTTCCTTGTCAAGGTCAGTGAATCCACAATTCTTTGACAACTGCCTTAGTTCTGTTACAAATTCATCCAAGGTTTGCCCTTCTTTCTGCTTGCAACTACGAAAGTTGTAAATTTCTATTTGTATATTTGTCTTTGGCTCAAAATACATAAGGAGCACTTCTTTAGTATTGGCATAGGTGTTTCCACTTTCCCCTTTCTTCGCTTCATAGATTTCGTAAACACGTTCTCCTGCATAGTGTAATAATAAAGCTCGTTTTCTAGCGTCATTGTTGATGTTCATACCGACTAATAAGTTCTCAAGTCTTCCAATCCATTTTTTCCAAAGCGTTGGCCTTGTCTGCTACGACATCGAAGGCTGGAAAAGATGGCAGATTTGCTATTCGTGGTTGTTCGCTAAATAAATCGTTAATCCGACTTGTATTTGTCCAAATTTACGTATAATGCGTTGGCTATGGCTCGTAGGTTCTCTTAATCCTCGTTGCCAATGTAAAGGTTCTAATTTATTGCTTTGATTTCATCTTACATAAACTCACATTAACCGTATAAAAACTCTCTATCTCACGTATATAAAATGTTTTCTTCTTCCTCTTATGCGGGCTCACTTTTTCCGTGTGGTACTGGACACTACAACTGTGATTTGTGTGATAAGATGTGACTGATGAACCTGTAATGGTTCATCTAATGTTATGATATTCAACAACAGCTAGACATATGTACAGTAGTTGCGGTAAATGCTTACTTTTGCTCATATTATAAAAGAATCAAGAAACAACATGTTCAAACTCTTCTGGAACACTTTAAAATGTCAGTTGGCTCTGAAGTGAGGCAAAATGCTATTCTGGATCTTCTTAATTTATCAAACTCAGAAAAAAATTCAAGTCACCAAAGCAATTAAGGAAGCTCTCCCAGGAACCTGAGTTACTAGAAAACACTTGAAAAATGGTTATGTCACATTTTATACAGATGTTGCTTGCAAATCATTTTCCTATACAGCGAGTGTTTTATCAGATACTACAGAATCAATAACACTGAATGAAAGTGTTGAAAGTGCACTTATCAGCAACATATCTTCAGAACTGGATTATATACATTCTCAAATAAACAATAAGTTATTCTCGATATTCAAGATATATTTGACCAGGACAGTTTGTTATCCGACGAAGAAGATGTATTAATTGCACAAATAGATAAAACATTTTGCAAGAATACGTCTGATTTACGTCATACACCATCACAACCAAATGGAGAAAATTGCAAAAGGACATGCCCTGGATTTGTCACACCAGTTGTGGGAGATGTTGGCACATGCAAAATTAACAAAGCAGCTATGAGCAGGTTGGGTGCACACAGGGGGATTGGCCTATGCCTGGGTGACCTTCACAATAAAGGGTATTTTTGTAAAGCTGCCTTCCAAGTGCACGGATCATCAGGATCTCACATCTTATTGGCAGAAATAATGAAACAAAAGAGGCTCACAACTGATTGCTTCATGAAAATATTCATGATTGCTTGATCCTTGATTGCTTCATGAAAATATTCTCCGGAGGGACAAGCGCCCAGTATCAATCACCTAAATCTGTATGGACTGCCATCAGGCATAGGGAAAGCAGTGATATAACGCGACTTCTCGGACAATGTGATCTGCAGATACCCTTGGGAGAGGTCTACTTCTGTGAATATTGCCAATCCTTTCATTTTATGCAAAATGTCATCGACTGTAGGCATCTGGACACGGCGGCGAACCAAAGCTTGGTTTAAAATTCTCATGTCAAGTACCAAGCGAACATTTCCTCGTTTCTTGGGTATTGCAATCAGCGGTAAGAGCCATGGTGTTGCGCCTTCTGCTTCCTCTATTATGCCTTGTTCTTCCATTTTTGTTAACTTGCGATTCATGGTGTGTGGAATACGTCTTTCTTGTTGAGCCACTGGTTTAATATAAGGATCAATTTCTAGTTTGACTTTTTTCTCTTTGAGATTACCCATTCCTTCGAATACTTTTTTGTGTTTATTCAATACCGCTGATATTTCTGGATCAGGATGGTCAAGTGCAACAGAATTAACTTTTAGGTTGAGTAATCCAAGAGCGGTGGATGTTTGGCAGCTGAGCAAACATGTGCTGTTCGTATTTGTGACGAGAAATGTACTTGTTATCATAGTTGAACCTGCTGTGATTCGGGCTTTGAAGGCGTATTTGCTCCGTACAGGAAAACTTTCTTATGGGAGATTTGTAACTGGATATCTGGATTTTATTTGATGGATTTTTGTAAAAGTTGACTTATTTAGAAGGTTTACTGAAGATCCTGTATCCATCATAACTTTAATTGAAACATTCTCCACCGTGACAGTGGTTTCTGGTGGCTTGGTGCTTGAGTTGATTACAAAAGTGAATTCCTCATCCGTATCATCAAGATATCTTATTTACATCCCACCTTGAGCTTTGTTTCTGCCCTTGCAGTTGTGCTTTTGACAGACAATGTTTTGCAAAATGTCCTAGTTTTCCACAAGCATGACATTTCTTCCCTCCGACTGGGCATGACAATTTGCCTTCTTTGTGCGAGAACTGTTCCCCACCATTGCAACACTTTTTGGAGTTTTGATCGATGTCCCTTTGGCTTTGCCTAGGTGGTATGTCTGCATTGTTGTTTTGACGAGCTTGGTAACATTGTTGTGGTTTTCGATTGTGTGGTTGATCTGAAGGGGGTTTGCTGACTGGTTTAACTCACGATTTTGCTCTAGAAGTTCAGCATTCATATCCGTCTTTTCCAACATTGAACCATACGTGAGAAGGGCTTTTAAATCTAGTTGCTCTTGAAGTGCTTTTCGCCGTATACAACAGGCGTACATGAGCAAAGATTCCTTCGGTGTTCATCACACATCCCGCCATTCAGTGCAGACCTCATTACCAGATCAAATCAAGGGTGCTTGGTTCTGTGACCAAAAGGGTTTAAAAGAAAAAAGTGCCTTGAAATTGAATGCTATCCTCTTAACCACAAGGGTTGCGCTTCTGAGAAAGTTCCTGAAAACTTCATTGATACAATTTTTAAAGGAAGGAAAAAAGAAACGAGACATTTACAGAAAAACTGTACGAATGTTTTCCAGATCTACTATTTACTATTCTCATGGAGTAACACCAAAAAAGAATGAACACACGTAAGGGAGGATTAAAAGTGCTTAAAACTATTGTTAGATACTTCATATCATTCAGGTCATATCATACCGCATCAGATAAACTTTCATATTGTGAACACCTATTTATATTAGATAATTGTTGCATATTCAGCTAATTGCATCCCTTGTCCATGCTACCTTAATGCAATTAACTCAATACCTAATTGATAAGAAACATTTAAGTGCGGATTTTGTTCTATGCCATGTAATGTGAACACTGCGGTCAAAAGGTACGCGCATGCGCGAGGTTTCACAAAAGCGCAGGAAAAGTAAATGTTAATTGTATGTAAAGGAGTGCGGGGTAAAGAAAAGCACAAAGTATAAGAAAACGGCTGGAAGTATAAGGTAGAGAACTTCTGAGTATACTCCTTGTGAAACTGTATAAAATCATTCTCAGTTTACCCACTCATACTCTTGTTTACCCATTTTTCTCAAGATTCATGAACGTGGCATATTTTTTCAGTCGTTTTACACTCTCCTAAAATAATGATGACTGCTGAAGGATACATTTACGTAAGTCAAATAAGTGGGATGCTGCAGGAGATGTTTTGTACATCATGAAGAAAGTTGAAGCAATCTCGGAACATGAACATACTCCTAGGGCTTATACAAAGAGGAGTGCACAATACTGAGAAAATTACTTGCTGGAAAGACGAGAAAAACACAAGCGACAGAGAATTGGCAACCCATCCCAAAGGGCAGTCCAACATAACAGTATAGAGCAGTTGTCACCTGCAGAGCTGGACCAGACGCATTGTCGCCATCCCACTTAGTTTAAGGAAGACGAGTTACGACTATGCGAAATAGTGAACATTACGAAATCGTAAGCACCTATGAATCTCTTACTCAAAGGGTGAAGCATCATAGAAATTTGCTCCAGAGTTTTACGAAGCGATGGAGAGACGAATACCTGTTAGCTTTAAGAGAGGAATCAAGCTGAAAATCAAGAGGTAATCAGAATCCTGAGATAACTGTGGGAGACATTGTTATCATTAAGAACAAACAAACAAAACAGAATTTTTTGAAATTGGCAAAGGTAGGGCAACTAATGGTCGGAGAAGATGGAGTTGCCCGTGCTGCAGTCGTTAGAGTTTTTCGTGAAAGCTCAAACCATTCTCAGTTGTTAAGGCGTTCCATCCAGCATTTCATTCCTATAGAAGTTAGACAGGTAATCAAGAATGATCAAGCAAGGAAGGAAGAAAAAAGCGCAAAGACGACCAAGCAAGTGTTACATCCGACTGAGCGACCACAGAGAAACACAGCAATTACTGGACAATTACGAAGGTTGAAGGAAATGGGAAAATTATAAAGGAAATACGAACTGTTATGTTATTGCACGTTATACTAATATTAATTTTTTGTTGTAAAGATTTAGTAGACTGTTGACTTGTTCATAGACAATGTCAACCCTGGGGAGTGTAAATAATGTTAAGAACCGGAAGTAACGTGTTAAACGTCACAATTAGATTTAGAGCACGTGATTAGAGCATGAGATTGAGGGTTATAATTTTTTTTGTTGTTGTTAAGATTTCATATGGAGTGAAATATATAAATTGTTTGTTGTTGAAGCGATTTAACGATTGATTAGGAAGCAAATACAAATGATTATAAAACATTATGATTGCAAAGATGGAGAGGTACTTGATAAGAAGCAAAGTACCCAAAGCAAAGTACCCCAACATTATGAAACTTGTGGCAACATTGGCTTAATTGCCATTTTCAAATGCTGCAGTAGAAAGAATCTTTAGTCAGCTCAAACTTGTAAAAACAGATCACAGAAACAACTTGAAGTCATCATCACTGATTTTCCTGCTTCAAAGTAAAATGGCAAAGAAGAATGGCTATTACTGTGCTGCTAGCCTTAAATCAAGCAAAAGATTATTTCGACTTGCCTCTGCAATGAATCTAATGCAACTGATGAAGTGAAAACAATATGTTTTTTTAGGCTTAAAAGGGAAATATAAGATTTTGAAAGTGGAAACACCGCACAGGAATCTGTTATTTATCGCCCATTGTGGTGAAGCCTTTAGAGGCAGAAAGTATCATTAATTTGCACATAGTGTTAAAGGCAAAAAACAACAAAAAATATAAATGATGATAGCTTGACAAAGCTTGTCTGGATATCAGGAAACCATTAATAACATTGAATATATTGTTATTGATGAATACTCCATACTTGGCCAAGTTAATTTTACAAACAAGCAAGTTTGCTAGCATTGCAAACAAGCAACTGGTTATAATAACAAAGTATTTGGTGGAACATCATTGATTTTAACTGGCAATCCAGGTCAATTGCCACCAGTAGCAAATAACCCTCTTTATCATGCCAAACCATCAAATGCTGTTAGCAAACAAGGTTATCAAGAAAATCATGTTTCACAAAGTTGTTAAACTCACTGTAAATCAAGGTGTACAAAGCATAACACCAGAACAAATACAGTTCAGTGATTTGTTGTTATGACTTTGCAAAGGTGAGTCGACAGTCAATGACTGGAAATTACTTCATACATGCTAACCATCGAGTGTCAATAATTTAAGCACTAGCCTCTTTTATAGTAATGAACAAGTTGCAACAGCGAACAAAACTCAAACATCCAATTGCTCATATTAATGCTCACCATTCCAAAGGCACCAGGAAGGTGTTCATGTGGGGTTTTGTTTGGCCAAACCATAGCCCCGTTATTAGAATGTTTTTCGATCGTAGATGTGGAGGCAGCTCATTCACCATGGACTGAATTGGCCAAATGGAGTACAATGATGATTTGAATACAGGTACACCATCTGTGTTCCACATTAGTGTAATGTCATTCCCTGAAAGGCGATGTTTCTGTACGAGTTTCCTGTACAGCAAAGATTAAGTTATGTCTGATATATAGATGGTTTGGGCAGTCAGGTCACGATTCGTCAAATAGGAATGTATTTTTGGATCACTTAACAGGTCAGTAAGCTGCTGCTTCAAGGGGATGTACAAGAAAAAATTACCACTTTTAATGCAGTCATCAGGGATGAATTCCTCTCCACAGTCATTGCAGGGTTTTGCAACCTTGTCTTTTCCCAAGTAGGCAGCACACACAGGGCAATAAAAGTGCACCTAAAATATAATCAAACATGTACAATCAGTGACAAAATTCAATGTAGAAATCCTTTAGATTTAATAGCTTCTATACATTTCAAAATCCGTTAAAGCTGGTAGTCACTAGGAAACCTCTAACAAAGTTAATTTGACACTTACTAAAATAACCTTTAAACAAGTGTCCCACATTTTAATGGCACTGATTGCAGCATATATCATGGTAGTAATCATGTTAGTACCATGTTAATCACCTGGTAAGCGTCACCATGTGATACACATATATATATATATATATATATATATATATATATATGTATATGTATATGTATATGTATATGTATATGTATATGTATATGTATATGTATATGTATATGTATATGTATATGTATATGTATATGTATATGTATGTATATGTATATGTATGTATATATATATGTATAGAGGGTGAGTCGAAAAAAAACTGACACCTTTGAGATTCAAATTAGCCAGAACTTTTGGCAGGAATGTAAAAGGCCGTAGAGTTCCAGGCAAATTTCTACAGTTTTATTATTTCTCGCACAATTAGAATGCATTTTATATCCCAAAGGGAACAAACTTTGTGTTTTAGGTTAACTTATTTCATATGCTTCGTATACCCATGAGATATTTTGGAAGACATATAGTCCAATTAATTACTCTATACATACCTGTGATTCAATTTAATTAAATGTCTTGTAAAATTTGTTCTTCGAAGTTGGAAAAATACTTGGGAAATGCAAATTCAGTATTCCTAGTAGATCTGTCAGAGCTGCATCTGTCAAGCCATGGCGCAGGAGAAATGACAACGAAATCAAAATACTTTGTGCTCTGGTAATCATTGCTCCTTGGTAAACAGGTTCATTACCATCTTCAATATCCAGGCCCTACGAATTGCAATTAAAATGTACATTAATTTACGAATTGCTTAGCATGCATAGATCTGTTTAACACATGACAATTTTATTAGCAGTGGTACAAGACCCAGGGTACTCTCAGTAAAAATGTTATAAAATTTTAAATACTTATAATTTTATCTTACATCATTCTCTCCATCTGATTGATCATCTGAGTAATCATCTGTATCATCATCATTGCTAGAACACCTTCTGTTCTACAAAAGACAATTTAATAATTGGGAATATGATGTCAAACCAATATGTATTTTAAGAGAACTTCCAACCTCGTATCAGAGTAAATGTAACAAGATTGGAAAACTTATGCTAGTACCGTACTAAAATTCTTGTTCAAAGAAAAACTAGCAAAAAACCCAACATATAATTGCCGAGGTGCAATTGCAAGAAATGCATAAGTCAAATACTTCTGGCCGACTCAATCTGGGGAATGAACTGACAGGTCTCTTTTACTCTTTAATTAACTTATTCACAAACACCAATAAGTAGTTGCAGCCAGAAACAACATACAAATTACTTTGCTAGCAGAATGTCACTTTCTGTTGCTTCTGTGTGGCTGTTGCTTCTATGTTGCTATACATGTACCAAACCAACAACCAGCAACAGAGAATGACACTCTGCTAGCAGGGTATGCACTAATTTGTTACCAAATATAAATGTTTGAATAAAGTCAATAAACCATACCATATTATTCTCCACATTCTCTGAATCATCACTGTCTTTGCTAATTGGTTTTAAACCTGCTGGTGATGAAGATCTCAATGATGTCGAATCTCTTGATGATGATGATGGAGAATATGATGATATTCTCTTGACAGGTGTCATTGATTTTACAATTTTTGTAAGCTCTGATATGGCCAAACTTACACTTGATAACTCTAAATAAAGAAAAAACAAACATATATATAAAAAACAACGCTTCTCATAGTCTCGTTGCTTGTCTTTGAATCTAGAAAAATTGATATAATTACCATAATATTGGCTGTATGAAATTGTATAAATGACCACAACACGAGAAATAAGTAATATATGGCCAGAAATTAAATTTACCTTCCACATTGGAAGCAATACGACGCATATCTCTGACTTTCTGTTTTAGGTCCTTGACTTTATCTTCTAGGCCTTTAACTTTTAGGTGCAACTCTTTGTTTTCTACTCTGAGTTCACATACTTTTGCTGGATTCCCAACATCCTCATCTGACGAGTCTTCATTATTCTACTAGAAATACATGCATGCAGCAACCCCTCGCTATTTCAAACCAAGTACACAATTTCCTGAGTTAGCCTGACCTAAACTTATATTATGAAATGACACAAAACTCAAATCAGTCTTAAAGTTTCCATCATTCAATACAAAAATAATCATAAAGCTAGTGTAAACATTGCCCGTTCAATTTTGCTGCATTATACCATGCCAGCAATTAAGTAACGGTTTAAAATCGAAGTTTCAAACAATTAAAACGGTACAAAATCTTCACAGACAAAGAAAAAACTTCAAATGTTATTTTATTCTGTATTTTGCAGTCGACGCCGGCGGCTAAAAGTTTTATACTTTATAAATATAGTGTGTATTTTTTATACCAAAATTCAAATTACACTTTCAAAAACACTTTTTGAAGTTAAAGCAAAGGTGTAATAGCCTTTCACAGGTTTATGCGTTTGCATAAAAAGCTGAAAATTTAACAAACAAACGGCATACAAAGCTGAAAAGTATACAAATAAGGCTCATTCTTATCGCGAAACAAATATGAAATAAACAAAGGAAACACGTACCCTTTGTCTATGAAAACATTTATAAGTTTGCAGATTATGAAATATTCCTCTTACACGGCTTTGTCTTGACCGTATCCACGTTCATCTTTGCTAACTGTCATGCTTCATATGTCTTGTTTCTTCTCGTTTTACTTTCTTAGTACCCTCGCAGGCGCGGAGCGCCCGCTCGGGGATTAAATAATATTGTCTCAGTATATAATAATCCAACCTCAGAAAAATCAATTTGACATGAGATAAAAATGCACTTCTGTGGGGCTTTGGTGGTGCAGTCATCAGAGCAAGGCACTGGCTACAGACTTATGCGAAAACAGCCAGTCAACACTCTGCCGAAAGTCGTGGGTTTTCTCCGGGCACTCCAGTTTTCTCCCACATGGAAAGTTGGCAGGATGGGCTAGGATAAACGTAATTAGGAAAGTAACAGTACAATAGTTGTAAAGATATACAGCCTAGACAAGCAAGTAACACAACTAAGCGCAATACTTGTTGATATTGGAAACTCTTGTTTGCTGAAGTAACACAGTCACATATCTTTAATTATCTATTACATGGTGTCTGTTTCAAAGGGTGGTGAACAACAAAATGAAAAATATGTTGTATAACCTGCACCATGCACCCTCTCCTTTCTCACCCCAAGCTGCCAGCGATGTAGGAGAAAACATTTTCTGATTATTTCATTTCTCTTCAGAAATTTTACATTTATAACATTAATAAACCAATACGTACTGTTCGGTCATTCAAACTATATTTTGCTTTCACCATGGCTACCATATTGTCAGTATTATTGGTGCACATTGTTCTACTGCATTTAGGTTTCTTAGGTGGAACCTAAAATAACACATTTCAATACATATTAGATACAAGTTACACATGATACAGTATTCCTATTAGATGTCAACAAGATATCATGTTTGTAGTGCACCAAACAGACTTTTAAATAACAATGCAATGCTCCTAATACTAACCTTGTCTGAAGGATCTTCTTCATCGCTTGCAGAGACATAACGACCATTTCTTTTGGAGACAGAATGTCCTCTGCCTCTATCTGGTGTTTTGGTGTCACCAGTCTTTAAATAGTTGTCTAAGTGCTTCTTAATGGTTTCAATGTTGTCTAAATGAGAATTTTTTTATTATATTAACATCAGTGTGGGCTACAAAGTTCACTATGTACATTACACCTTACCTGCTCTGTAACAAAACACTCCTGGCATTGCCAACTTCATGTGTTAGTTGTATGTACTACATATTGTATAAACAAGCAATGTGTGTATGCTAACCATCATGCTTTGCACACTCAAATTATCGATTTCGCGCCTAGTAAATTTGTGGTCATATTAGATTATTCAGATGTCCCTGTTTTCAATCGATAATATTCTTCAACATCTTATGGGTATACTTGCTCATTTCAAATTAGTTATCCTGAAAACTCTTCAAATAAATATATTTCATGTCCATTGGTTGCAATGGCAATGCGATGAACAACAGAAATAAGGCTACATGTCTTATAAATTCAATATAGTCAGTTACTTCGCAATTTTATGCAAGTATTTTCCCATTCTCAATACTTAAAACATTCAGTGTTGACTGTTAATTGTGTGCTTACTGTTCAACTTCACAATCGTTGCAGTGCAAAAACGTTGAAGCAATATCGTCTATCTTTATTGGCATCTTCCCCAACTTCCTTACAATTTTACTGAAATGTTTAGGCCATCGGACGACGACTTTTTTATTTGATAACAAGCAAAGATCGTTTGTTAACTTGCTTTTGTCTTCGTTGAGAATCCATGATGTCTCTCCAATCTCGCATGTGTGGTTGTCAAATTCGAATATGGCAAATTTCATTTTGACAGACAATATGAAAAGCCTGAAAATCCTTCACGGAGTCGGAGCAAAGCACCGAAAAATCACAGTAAATTTGAATAAATGTGCTCGTTCAAAGCTTTCAGAAAATGGCGGGATGTATTATATCATATGGTTTTCCACATATCATTGCAAAAATGCGCCTGTTGTCTTGACCGCTGACCAACGTAAACACCATATGGAATTTTGAATTTTCAAAGTTTTCTTCAGTCAAAGCTGTGTTTTTACCTTCGTAAAACGATGTTTAACTAACTAATACATGATGAACACAAGGCGAGGACCTTACAAAACAATATCAGGTGAATGGAAGTAGTAATATTCCGAGAAGAACCAACTACAGGAAACGTCTGCAATTGCAGTTAGAAGTTAATGAACAGATACAAGCTACATCAACCTCAAGAAGAGCTCTTGAACAAGTCGAGGTTTGTCTGCCTCTGTTTATATCACCTCTTTTGCATGTGTTTGTATGATGCGAAGTGTATAATTATTTTATCATTATTGAATACAAAGTATATGATTAATTCTTTGTATGGGTCAATTTTAGGAAGGTCTATTCAACGACTCTGAACGTGAGAATACTGACCAGCAGGTATGATACATTTTTATATTTCTATTCACATTTGTTACTCTCAGTAATGCTTGTGATCAGGGACCGCTGAAGTTTTTCAAGGTTATATCTGATATATTATATCTGATAATGGAACACAAGAACTGTGGAATGGTTTCACACACCTTATAATTACATTTCCTGTCAGAGGAAACTAGGATACCCAGAGAAAATGCCATTTGAATTTGAAATTCATATTCATTAATATATTTATTCAATATTTCAAGTTTTCAAATTACTTTGGAATGTACATACCATACTATTTATTGATCACACATTAATTTTAGGGCCTGGATGATAACAATGAATTGCTGATACAACAAGAAGATAGCAGCAGTAACTCTGGTGAATTTGAAGGTGAAAACATGCAGGTATTTATTTAGTTACCATAACAAATTGTTATATCTGCTAGATCTCCCAGTGTTGGTATACTTGTATTTTTAGAAAAAAATGTTAATGCATCACCACCATGTTGGTGGTGTTATACATAAAAATCAAAACTTACTTGTCAATTGATTTATTCGATGTTTGAATTTTGGCAAGTTAAAGCACTTATTGTAGTTCACGTTTCAGAAGATATAATGAATGCAAATATATTTATTTCTCATACATTAATTTTAGGACCAATGAATTACTGATACAACAACAAGATAGCAGCAGTAACTCCGATGAATTTGATGATGGAATCGTGCAGGTATTTGTTTAATTACTGTACCATAACAAATTCGCATAGAAATTTATGCTGTTGGAAAAGTAATAAATAAATAATAAAAATAGGCTAAATAATAAAAAGTATTGATATAACCGTGTAATGTATGTAATATGATGTTTGTATGTCTTTGCTGTGTGGTATCAAAGGTGGTTATCCATCCTGGCATTTCAATTTTAAAAGCTCAAAAGAAAATGTTCGACACCTGTGGAGATGCCAAGTCCTATACCTATTCCATAATGGAGATGTTGTGGTCAAGGAAAGTGCTGGCCAGTCATTCGATGACCAGAAGACAGGGCCGGATTAACCATATGGCAGAAGCGGCATATGCCGCGGGCCCCGCGGTTTTGGGGGCCCCGCGCTTTATCTTCAAAAAAAAAATAAAATGGGAAAAGTAGACGGTTCATGGTTGACAAAGGCGAGGGGCCCAATTCCTCAAACGGCAATACCACAAGCATCACTGGTGAAATATAATTATTGTATATTATGTAATTGTTTATGAAATGCCACATTATATGTGACAATTTGCGTTAATTTAGCTGCAGATATTATATTACATAGAATAACACAGTGTTTGACTGTCTGGCAGTAGAATTGCAGCTTGATATTGTAGTTTACATAATTATAGCGCTCTGGCTCTGTCGGATGACACTCAAACCACACTCAATCCTTTTACGTTTTCTTGATTCATTTAATAATATTTGAGGACTGAGATTATTGCTACTGTCTGTCTGTCGTTGGCCAGTTCAAAGTGAAGGTACTAACAGGATCTTGCTGAATGCTCACCGCTTACGCTGTAAGTTTTGATAATTTTATAGCTGCCATATGTATTTTCGCGTTTCTTCAATAGCTACCATTCCTACCAAGTCAACTTGGTTGTTTATTGCTTATATATAAAATGCCAATTTATATAAAGTAATGATATATTTGCATGGTGCAATCAGCGCAATGGCAGCGTTATGGCGCACGTTATCGATATTCCACGCAGCGTGCTTGATCATAGTGAAGCCGCAATTTTGTCTTAATTCTTAAAGCCAATATTTTAGATAAACGGAAGTCGCAAAATTCTCCCGTTTCTAAATAGGTTTTTACATGCCATTGCTTTTATGTTTATAAATGAAAACCTGTAATTTAACATGCAAATCAATGCTTAGTTTATGTATAATTTCTGAAAATATTGCGGAAAATATTGCTGAAACGGAGCTTTGAAATTTTTAGGTTCGCAGGCTTATTACTACAATATAGTTGGAAAACCCATATTGTTGATTAAAATGAGTTCTACCGGTGGGGGTGGCGCCCGCGACCGCGACAAAAATCGCAAATATGCATCCAGGAGAAGCAAAACGAAAGGCAAAGGATGAACAAATTGCACGGCGGGGAGGAGTACTTAGCAAAGTGCCAAAAATATCAGAGCTGTTTTCTCCCGCTACCAATAGCACCGGTGGCAATGCACCTTGTAGCAGCGTAGACGCCCACTTGCATGCTCTGCAATATGACGAAAGTGCTTCTTGTGAGACGACCACTAATCCTGAAGCGATGGCAGATGCAGTCGAGAAACCCGACAAGCCAGCAAAATCGTTGGCATCTGGTGATCCGTCCAGTTCCACTGATAGCACTGATGGATATTCTTGTGATTTGGGAATGTGGCCCGCAGATATTTCAGACAGCATGAGAGAGCATTGGGCAGTAAAAGGGAGTGACCAATGCAGAAATTTCGACGCAGATTTCAGCTCAATGTCAACCAGATTTGAGGGAGATGTTTACAATCGACGGTGTCAAAAAAGCTTGTTCACATACACACATGAGCTTACAAATCAGCAACATCCTCGAAACTGGCTCTGCTACTCACCATCTAAACACACTGTTTTCTGTTTTGCCTGTAAACTGATGACTGACAGTATCGTTTTTGGAAAACAAGGATACAATGACTGGAAACGCGCATCCCAATCAATTCCACGACATGAGAAAAGTTCAGCACACCTTAATGCTGTTATTCAACTACTCCAACGCAGCGACGCTGGCTGTCGTGTTGATTCGAATCTGGTCAGGCAGGCCAGTGAAGAGCGCAATTATTGGCGGGCAGTACTCGAGCGGGTAACAGAAACTATCCGTCACCTTTCCGAGCGAAGTTTACCATTTCGTGGCTCTGATGAAATCGTTGGATCGCCAAAAAACGGTAACTACTTAGGAACATTAGAACTTATATCCCTGTTCGATCCATTTCTAGCGCAGCACATCAACCGTAACGCAAACAAGGGGAAGGGTCACACATCCTATCTGTCAAAGACCATTTGTGAGAAATTCATCCATCTAATGGCGACCCGTGTACGCGAGCATATCTTTACAGAGGTTAAGGCTGCGAAGTATTTCTCCGTCTCTGTAGACTCCACCCCTGATATTTCACACGTTGACCAACTGAAATGCATTCTTCGATATGTTTTACTCTCTGGTCCTGTGAAAAAGATTTTTAACCTTCCTTGACATACGAGGGCACAGCAAAAAAGCACTAGCTGAAACCTTACTCGAGTATTTAAAAAACAATGACATCGATATTGCTGATTGCCGCGGCCAGTCATATTACAATGCGAGCAACATGAGTGGGAAATATAATGGCATGCAGGCCATTATTCAACAGCATTGTAACCTAGCGGAGTACGTACCCTGCGCCGCGCATTCTCTTAATCTTGTTGGTCAGTCATCTGCCAGTTGTTGTCAGCAAGCCGTTAGATTCTTCAGTTTCCTCCAACGACTGTACTCTTTCTTCGCTGCTTCACCACATTGTTGGAAAGTTTTGACTGACCAACTTTCTAGCAAGAGCCTTCCCACAGTCAAACGCATGTCTGATACTCGATGGTTGGCGCGTGCAGACGCTACGAAAGCTCTAGTAAAAGGATATGATGAAATTAACGCTGCTTTAGAAGAGATTCATAATGACGAAGATGAGAAGCCGGACGCCAAAGATGAAGCTGGTAGTATTTCGTCTGATATGGACCGACTTGAAATCGGAATTCTTGCGGCGTTATGGCATCAGATCCTGGAACGATTCCACAGAACAAGTCAGATCCTGCAATCAGCCGATCAAGACCTCAACACTGCGGTTGCATTATATGAATCGCTGATTGATTTCGTCCATTCGCTGCGAACAAGATTTGAAGAATTTGAAGCCAAAGGAAAGAAGCTCGGTGAATGTGATATATATGCAGGAGAAGTCAAGCGCGTGCGTAAACGAAATCGCCGTTACGACGAGCCAGGGTCAGCACCTGAGTTGCTGCGACTAGGCCTTCAGATTCTTCAACTGCAGCGAGACCTTCTCATCAAGCTAATGAAGATGACGACATCGATGTTAAATCGGATGATGATGATGACATCACAGTGAAGGTCGACTCCCTAGAGCTGCGCATATATAGGCTTCTTGTGGCAAATAACTTAGAAACTGTATTTCCCAACACTGTTATTGCGTTTCGCATTTAATGTAGAGAAGTGTGAAAAGTTAAAAAAAGCTGCTGGAAAGTAAGAACAATATGTTGTATTAGAGATATTAGCATTTTCTTATATATGTAGTGTAAGTGGTTTTAAAATAATTTTGCATACATTGTTTATTGAAATATGATCTACAGACTACAGTCTATTTCGTACTACTTGTTACAAAACAGGAATTGTTGGGAATGACTCCAAAATATGGGCCTTATCCATAATATTTCCAGATTTCAAGAAACTGTAGGGAGCCATTATATTGGTAGCGGTACTTAGTGAATGAAAGGACATTGGCAATCAAATTTTTTATTGTATATTTATATCCCTTGGCAACAAAATTAGAAATTTTTCTTCTGAAACTTTCACCTTTGTTTATTGTTAATCGTATAATTTAATTTAGTTTCAAACAGGATTTTTCAAAAGGTTTTTATTTTTATATTTACTACGTTTTGAACAATTTAACTGACCGTCCGGACAGTTACACTGTTCGAAACGTTGTAAATTTAAAAATAAAATCCTGTTTGAAACTAAATTAAATTATATGATTAAAAATTATAAATGTTTTTCAATGTTTCTCATCATGTAGTATCTGTATGCAAAACTTCGTTCAGTTTGATCGGGTCAATAATAAGTGAGCTATGCTATTCAATAAACATACTTACCCAACTAATGATGTACGTCACACAGCTTATTTTTTCATGCTCTAGCTAGCTTTCAAATAAAACAATAAAATGTTTGAATGTTAATGTTCTTTACATTAAACTTTCTATGCATGTGAAAACACTAAAAAGACAGAATGAGTGGATCAATGTTTTGTCCAGTTCTATTAGGATTATAACAAAAATAGACTGAAGATCATATTCAACGTTCTGTAATTCAATTGCTATGGTCACTTGTAAGATATCATTGGCATTGGGTAATTTGCACCATTTCTCATTTTTTTATTGTAGTATCTGTTTGAAATGTTTTAAAATTTATTGATGATTTGTCTAACTTGTTTGTCTTTATTTGTAATACATAGTAGTTTTGCAGAAACTAGCTGTAATGCCTGTTTAACAAATAGCAGGAGTAACTATGTAGGGATAGGCAGCCACATGAGTTACAGGTACTTGTAATTAGTTTCATCTATTGCATGCAATAGAAATCTAATCGCATTTAATTACCTCTTTTTCAGAATTTGTTATTGCCAATTTGCCATTGGATGCAATAGTAATACATACCAATTTAATTCCAGTGACAGTGCACAATTCATCTCCTTTGAATGGGCACTTCATCACACTCATCACACTGTGGATAAGTGGCATCATCACATCCATCCACAGCAGCACCGCAGTAGATGCACGCATCCTCATACTCGCACGCATAATACAATTTCTCCATGTGATCCCCACAATCATGATCCTTCACCATCACATTCATGCCCGGAAGATCAAGATCATCTGCATAATAAAAATATAAATTTAATTGATATTAAGGAAAATCTGAAAAACGTTTTTTAAATTTCCTGATACTCATACAAATATCAATATTCCAATATGACAGTACATCACCCACCTAGCATCATGCCACATGTGTAATCTACACCTTCAAATGCATCTTGTAATTGCTTCACCTTCTGCTATATTATATAAAAGCCTCAACGGCCTCCAACATCTGATGTAACTCAATTTTAATGGGTGCCTAAGGCATCCGATCCATGCAGGACAGTGCCGGAATAACTTCCCGAACATCAATGGACAACTTTGAAAGCTTCTGCTCTGAGAGATTTTCTAGCTTTCTCTTGCGATGTTTTGTTTGCTCTGGCTGGTTGAACCCAGAAAATCTCTTACCAAAGTTCTTGGGAAACTTTAGGTGTAAAGGCAACTCATTTTCAATCTTTGTGTATTGCCCATCCAGGTACCATAGCAAGTCACCCAACTTGTTCACAAATGAAGTGGCTATGTCAATATTGGTTCCATCAAACTTACACCCCTTCTCATTTTTAAGCTCGTGCTATTTTTAAGCTTCTCCCTCTGGTTTTTTGGATGCTCCACAGGTTTAAGTCTCTGTTGGCCACATTTTTGGCTGCAGACATCATAACCTGAAATGCACACATAGCAGGTCTTGGTGCTGGTGGCTGACATTCTTCACGATCTGCTTTATGGTGCACCATCAACGTAAAGAACTTCATATCAAAATTTTTCACAACATCAATCACATCTGTGTCGGCATTTCCAAGAATTTCATCAATGGAGGTCATGCTCGATGTTACCCTGGCCTCAACAAGGTCATAATTCTTGCAAGCGATTTTCAAGCCAGCACAAATTGATGGATACACCACATTCATGAAATCTACCCATATCTCTCCATATGTATACTGAGTTTTTATAGTATCAAGTGGAACCAAGACAAACTTCCATAGTAGCAACACATTTTTTTTTGTCATCAGTTACCCGAAAGACACATTGTTTCCCCACCATGAGGACTGTATTAAATAGAAATATATACATTGCCTAATATATACATCCATACCTGCTCTGTCAGAAGTCCGAAAATTTCTTAGTCACGCCAGAATTTCTTCGTCACGCCATTGGCGATTGTGTTAAAATTTGCATATAAACTACGAGGACTCAGGAATTTCCGAGTGTACCGAACAAATGCCGAACGATCATCGGCGATGCTGCTTTTTTAAATCGAAGATTTGATTATCTAGATCTGTTGTTTTATAATATATTTGAAAGTTTCGATGTGTAGAATTAAAAATAATGACAAATAATGAAAATTTTTAAGAATAATGAAAAATTGTTGCGGTAGTTGGTAGTTAGATTTTTTCCATTGCAAAGTTTGGACAACAAACCAGAAGGTGAACATACAGCAGACTAAGAGTATAAAAAAATTGACTGCCAATAATCGAACTACAATAGTATTATTGTGTCCCAGAAAAAGTAGCCTGCAACAAGCCATTTGGTTTAATACAGTGATATTCTCAATAACTTTATATCCATAGGCAGATAGGCGGACCTATTCTGATTGCTTGGCCTAAATTGCAGAATGAGGCAACAGACTAATGATTATTAGCTTACCATTCTAGCCTCAATGAAGCCTCAATGATGCTTCTCAAAATTGCCACTATTTACAACCAGCATATAAGCTATGTGTTTAAAGGCGAGCAAATGCAAACTGTAGAAACATGCAACAACCCCTTCAATTTGTCGCGCATTCGGCTGATTGAACAATTTAATTCCTTATTGTTATTGCCTCAATGCTATAAATATCCATTGATTTGTGAAAGCTGTTGTTTAATAAAAATTGGCAGCAGAATTCCAATTGTCCAAACATTTGGGGACATTGATTTAGAAACCACATCAAAACATCATATAGAATGTGAAATACATGTATTGGAGTGGATACAACCCTGATATTGATATAGGTGTCTTATTGCTACTTTCAAATTTGAAGGGTTGTGTGTTTGAGCGTACAGATGGTGTGCATGTTACGTCATTGTCACCATGTTGCATGATATTGACAAAGGATTTTCCTGGCTTGCATTTCAAATATCATCCAACATGGTAATAATCTCTTTGTCTTTCAAGTCTTGCGGGAATGCTTGCACACCACCTTTATTGTACAGAGGTTTTAATAGAGAACCGAATATATCCTTTCATGCACCAAAACTGAGCATTTTGGATAATCATGGCAAAATTGAAAAGAAGTGCTTGACCCATTAAATGCCCTTCCTTTGACATTCCCTACATGGCTCAATTTTGCCCTGATTATCTGAGATACTTTAACGAGAGGGCTTAATTCAAAAATTAGATTGATTGAGTCACAATGGTACCAAATTAATGTTGTTCGATAGTCTAGCAGTTATTAAAGTGTCTATGAAGTGAAAAAATCTCATATTTTTTTTTGTTTCAAAATGATAGATTAGGGATAGACGGAAAGTAAAAAAATTGTTTTATAAAATTTGGTATATTAGTGACCGAGATAGAGCTACCTAAAGTTAGAGTTTTAAGTGACCATTTTTTATGGAGCCTACTATGGCTACTGCGATGGAAGTTACTAAGGAAAGCGAATGCTCTTCGAGCTCGAATTCATCTTGACAAGAAAGTGCTAGTGAGGATGAAATTCTAGAGCTCCAAAGATGGAGCAAGGACGTGCCAGTGAACTCATGGTGAGTCGCTCTATTATTTGGTTCATCCTAAACTAAACTTTTCATTGAAGGCACTCTATTAATACAATATAGGTGTCAATGTGGACAGTGCAACGATCGCCACCTCAGTAGCGCAAGGGAATATTGTTGCTGTAAGGAAATCCTTGAGTGTGCAGGGAAGTATACGTATGAGGGTAAGGATGGAATCAATTTTTCAATAATTGTTTTCTTATTAATCCATAGATATCTATGTTCAGTCGCCTATCGGTGGCTTGTTTTATGGCTGTGTGGCTATCTGGGATGGGACCATTCACAACCACTACCAGCGTGCATTTATGACCACATCAGGTCTGAGTTCCCTAGTGCTGATGTACAAGGTTATAAAGGTGCCAGACAAAGACAGCAGAATCAGTGACTATATATTTATATTACCTTTTTTATTAACAATGATGAAATTTTGAATGTTTGACTGAAATAAAGTTAGACTGAATTATTTGAATTTTCACAAGCAGATTTTTTGTGTCCTTTCATTGGCTGGTTACATTTCTTGCATGTTGGTGCTTTACACTTGTGTTTGGCTGCTTGTTGCTCCCTTTGAGCATTCAGTAGTTTCTCTTGTTCAGCAACTGGCATAGAGAATTAATGATGTACTGAGTTCTTGGTAATAAGTATGAGACAAATTGTTCTGAGGAGATAATTTACCTGCAGGAAACAGTTCTGTTACCATTTTCTTTCTTTTCTCTTGTCTCTCAATTGCGTCTTTCCTTCCA